AACAATTTGACCAAGCCCTGTGTGATTTAGGGGCTAGTGTCAGTGTCATGCCCAAGGTGGTATATGACAAATTAAATCACAATTCATTATCACCTACTCCGATGTGTTTGCAACTCGCCGATCAATCAATTCGGTATCCGGCAGGAATTGCGGAGGATATTCCTGTCCGAATAAGGAATTGTTTCGTTCCTGTAGATTTTGTGGTGCTAGATATAAATCCCGATTTTAGAACACCAATAATCTTAGGAAGACCATTTTTAAGTACCGCAAATGCAACCATTGATGTTGGAGCTGGAGAAATCCATCTCCATATCAATGGGAAGGAAGAAATATTTCATTTCAGGCCACGGCCGGAGCAGTGCTCGTCGGTGAATAATTCATCCACTGACAGCATTGCTTCGTGACAAGGACGCACCACCGGGCGCGAATCATTCAGTGCACTGAGCACCGAAAGAGCATCCGAGGTGCATGATCAGGTAAGAAAAGCAAAGGTACGCTCTAATCCCTCTCATTTTTTCCTAAGCAACTTCATTTATATGCATAAACATGCTTAGGAACCTCATTAAAATGTCGAAAATAATTAAGAGGGGGATTAGGGGGGCGGCCGCCCCATGCACAGGGCGCCCGACCCCCCATGATGGCCTCTGCTGTCCACTTCCTCCCCTTTCCTCTCTCACATGCAAGAAAAGGCCAACACATGCACCAGGACACTCCATGCATTCCGACATATCACTACATCGCCTCCTCCACTCCATTCCACTCTCTCCATCCCTTTAACTCCGGCCTTTGGCCCTTTCCTTTGCATAATTGCTGCACACATCAGATGGGGGGAAGACAACAAAGCAATAGAGGGCACTAGGGAGCAGCTAGCCTGCACTAGCAGGTCGGCCGCCCCCCTGCTCCCCTTTGTTCCTTTCTGCTTTCCATTCATCCATATATTCCATCTCCCTCTCCCTCTCCCTCTCCGAAGAGCAAAGCATCAGACACACACACACACACACATATCCTCTGCATTTTGCATTCGGAAGCGTCGGAGCGCACTGGCGAGATTTCGTTAATCACCGTCATCACCGGCGAGGTTACGAAGGTGAAAGCACCCTTCCACGGGGTGTTACTATTTTCCTAACCTTAATCCTTTCTTGTTTAGTGCTTGTTTTTTGGGAAGAAGAAGAAGAAGGCACCAGTGCGCGGCCTAACACGCACATTCGGTTCTCTTCATCAAGTCAATCAAGCACGGGAAGCCGGCGGTCACGAGCTAGTGACATGTCGGTGGACCAGGCGAGTCAAGGTGCAGCCCCTCCTAATCAAGAAGTTAATCAAGACACTCGAGTGCTCAATGGGAGAATGAAAAGGAGAGACAAGCCTACGCGATGCTTCGGGAACGCACTTTCGTCCACACTGCACGTTCCACATCGACCGCGACCTGCTAAATGCCACAGGTATGATAACTGAATTCCAGACTGCCTTTAATATTTTAGGATGGAATAATGCTTGGGTAGTGAATGAACAAGGATGTAGAGAATTAACCATGGAATTTCTATGCACTTTGGAAATTACTAAAAACCATTGCACATTTAGACTTTTCAATGAGGATCATTCGCGTTTACATGGAAACAATTTAGTGTACTTCTAGGCTTTGATAAAGATTGCGCGGTAGACCTAGCAAAAGCCTGTGATGGTTTTGACAAGAAAACATTCTGGAAGCGAATATCCGGCCGTAGAGAAATTTTCTTATCCTAGAGTAGGCCAGATTCATAATCCCACACTGCGGTTCCTACACAAATTTATTGCTATAACCTTCTACCCGGCCTAGGAATGACCCGCGTATAGTTAGGACCGATGAAATGATGCTCTTATATATATGCTGTACTTAATAGGATACGTGTTTCACCTGCTAAAACTATGATGGAGTATTGGTCAGACATTTTTACTCGTACTAGTGATGTTTTTTGTAGAAATGACTTCGTTAGTTACCAGGATCGCTAGCAACATGCATGGGTCTGTTAGAGAATGCGATGTTCAACTTCATTCACATGGATAGGATTATTTTAGATTATGAGCACTTTAGCAAGGGACACATCTTACGGTATGATGAGGAAGACGGGAAGTACATCATGACGTACTTGGGGTACGTTAGTGAGGTGCCTTTGCCCGACGTGACCCTGTGGTTAGGGAACACAGACTCGTTGCTGTTGCCACTTGAGACAGCAGAGCAGCGGGCCGAAAGGCTTACTCCCTCCGTCCCCAGTTTATCTGTCGTCGTAACGACAGTAGAGTGTCCCAATTTATCTGTCGTTGACTACTCATGTCGTACTGGTAGTAGTTGTACCGCAGCGCACCACGTGTTGTCGACCAAGGCGAGCCTTATCCCTTCCCTCCCTCCTCCCAGCCTCACACAGTAGCTTCACACACCACGAAAAAAAAAGCATCCTCATCCACATCCTCATCGGCCTCATCCCCAATCTCAGCGGATCCGCAAGCTTGCCGTCGCGGCCGCCCTCCCACTACAAGAAACTTGTTAATCCGTGACGGATTCTCGGTGACGGATTTACAGATCGTCTCTGACAGATACAATCCGTGACAATAATTATTTTTTTGTCATGGATGTGGCTAGTGGATATTCTCGGCCCGCTAACTCGTGACGGTTTATTGAGGATCGTCACCGTGTATGATTTTTAAATTCGTCATACTCTAGTTAGCCCAAAACAATAGGCCCGCAATTATATATTTAGTGCAAAGAAAAAAAAAATGAGATTGCATAAAAATCATAACCAAAAGATGATTTGTTAAATTATTTGAACTAAATAATTTTATTAATTACTTTGTTGCATTGTATGGTGCATATATGGTAAAACTAAAAAATGTTAAATTATTTGAACTAAATAATTTTATTACTTTGTTGCATGTATATGGTGCATATATGGTAAATCTAAAATTATTCTGAATATATAGAATGGGAACAAAAAATTGTGTAGCATGTGGGATGGCGTGGCCCAGCATTTAAATTTAAATGGTAAAATAAATAGACAAACAAAGTGCACTGAGTTGAAATCAAACCTAGGACCAGTTGAAAACAACCCAGCTTTGCCAACTGCGCTAGTTGTTCAAGTGTGTAGGAGCAGAATTCTTATGTGGCACCACGGCCCAGCACCACATGCACCGCAGCGGCTTGGTCAAAAAAAAAAAAATCAGTCGGCGTGGCGCAACATTTAAATGGTAAATAAATAAATATGTAAAAATTACGCTCCCAACGGGGATCGAACCCAGCACATTCCACATGACAACTTGTAAAGTTACCGCTGCAGTTCTTATTTAAAAAAATTTGTACAGTATCCGTTACATCGAATCTTACGGCACATGCATAAAGTATTAAATGTAGACGAAAAAAAACTAATTACATAGTTAAATGAGAAATCGCGAGATGAAACTTTTGAACCTAATTAGTCTATAACTAAACATTATTTAACAAATATAAACAAAAGTGCTACAGTACTCGTAAACTTTCCTCACCCTCCGCCCCCGAGGCTGAGACCTGTCCTCGTCCGACCAGGGAGGACGGCAGAAAAGCCGGTCAGGTCGAGCTCTCGGAGCTAGTCGATGGCAGATGCTGCCGGTCCTTTGCCCCCTCACGGCGCCGCTGCGGCCACGCTTAGCGCCCTGCTCCCTCCCGTGTCCGCCATATACACCAAGAACGACGTGAATCGAGCGTGGTCGGCCATGTTTGTCAACTCTGTTCAAGAGCATTGAACAGAAGCTCTTCTCTTTTTAATCTGGAACAAAAATTTGTAAACAGTCTTTCTCCTTCATGTTGACTCCAAATGATGTGTTTCTTTTTTCTACTTTCTTCAAAAATCATGATCTACTAAGTGACAACATTTGTTTGGACTCAATCTTTGGAATCAGTTTTTGAAACAGATCTGCTATTTCGTATAGTTTAAATAAATTTTAGCCTCCTTATCAAAACAATTGCAAATCAAACACTGACTAAGAATGTTATAAAATTTATACTCGTATGTTTCACTCTATAAAAGGCTATATCCATAGACGAATGAAAAAAATCATTTGTTTTTAAAAAGAGATACTATACACTGTTCACGAATGGTACATCTCACATATTTATATGAAACTATGTGATGGATGTATCCATTTGTGAACGCTGTATAGTCCCACTTTGTTAAAATGACTTAATTTTTTTATGTCAATCTAATACACCAATATTATGCCCCAGACCAATTCTTAGGATTTTTAGACCACTTTATGTATTATTGTTTTTCTTTCATCAACGTCACCAAAATAGTAGTTCGAGTAATACACTTAATTTTCCAACGATTTTCAGCAAGTGAGATCAAATGAAACAGTTCATCTTACATATAATATGTTTATAATTTTTGGACATTGTTTGATAGGACATATAGTTCAAGTTGGAGTTATTTTCTAAAAGCGTGTAGAAATTCATTTGAACTATAGAAAGTAGTAAATCTGTTTTAAAATTTTTGAAACTTCTATGAAGGGATATATATATATATATATATATATGTAGTCTATTTCATTTTAAAATGTTTTAGGTGCATAAATATAATTAAATTAGAACATTTATCTCATAAGAGCATCTAATCAGTCAAAAATAAAAAATAAAAAACTAAACAGTCCTGGCTACAATCAAAACTTATCCTATTTAAGAGCTAGCGTCCTGGGCCTGGGCTGCACATTCGTGGCAGGCCTCGTGAACCCGCCAGCCTGCTAAGGCTCAGCTGGATCTGAACCGTTCAATTCTATGATCAATGGCCATGCTTACAGCAGCACCGCTTAAAATCCTTCCTACCGTCTGCTTCTTGAACCCTAGTTTCATTTCTCGTCGGTCTTCCTTCCCAAATCCATGAAGCCGCCGCCGCCACTTACTACTTCGATCCGGCCTCTGCGCCGCTCAGCCTCACCACGCCCTCCACCGTCTGCGGAGTCTCCGTGTCGTAGCTGTCGTGCGTCGCAGGGGAGGACCCTCCATGCGCCATGCCCTTTGTTTGCCCGTCCAGCGCTGGGCGGAGTCGCGGCTTCGTGCGGAGGTGGCCGGGGAGGTGACGGCGCAGTGCAGAGGTGGCCGGGGAGCCGCCGGACGGTGTATGGCGCGTGAGCGCACTAGCCTCTTCGGCGGGCTCTGGCTGGCTGCGGAGGACGGGCGCCGCTGATGCCCGCGACGTGGGTGTCAGCTGTTCCCGGGGCGACGAGATCCATGGTGGAGAAGCTCAGATCTGTCGCCCTCAGTTGGGCTTTGTTCTGGCAGGGGCGAACGAGCACCAGGATGTCCATGTCTCCTCCGGCGGCGTCCAGGCCTACACCGACTACGTCGACAGCGACTGCAAGAGCAAGTGCCCCTTGTGCCTACCACCGTTCGAGTGCTAATTCGTCTTCGCCGCCATTTTCCTGTAAGCACCCACTCTCTACCCCATTCGTTGGATTAAAAAATTGTATTTTGGTCAGGACTTGTCATCAGATGAACTCCGTAGTATATGGCTATATGCTACTACATGGTTGTATATGCTACTACATGCTTGTATAAACACGTCCTATTTTTTCTGTCATAGCCGATGCAAACGGGTGCTTGGGTCCTTTTTTTTGGTTGGCTCATCTATAGGGCAGCATGAGCAGTACTTATTTTTGGTCAAAATAACCTGAATGTCTTTGTTCTGAAACAGCAAACTTGTAAAGTTTCTAACTGTTAGAGGCATGTTGGCTTTGTCCATCACTCTGTTCTGTGCGCAGCATTTCTGAAATGGGTTTGTATGTTGCATTACTTTACTATGTGACTTCTGTTGTTCTAGCAAATAAATAAGTTTGAGTACTGTTAAGGGCCCGTTTGGCACAGCTCAGCTTCACTAGTAAAGCTATTTTTTCAGAAAACAACTTCATGAGCAACTTTTTAGGTCTGAGTTGTTTTGGAAAAATTGTTCGGCAAAACAGCTTCACCAACAGCTTCATGCATGGATGGTAGAGAGAAATGAGGGGGAAAGCTGGAATAAGCTACTATTTTCAGCTTCATCCCACTTGAGAAAGAAAAACAGCTTCACCCATGAAGCTATTTTAGCAATAGATGTTTGGCAAGAAAAACAGCTCACAACAGCTTATGAAGCTGTTGTGAGCTGTACCAAACAGGCCCTAAGTTCAACTGCATCACATGACCAAACAAACAGCCTTTGTTCTTACCTGCAGCATTTTTGGAAATGGGTCTTCGAGAAGTTCTAAGGTATTATCAAGGCAGTGCACTGCTGTGATATGTCATGTTCCTAATGTTTGATTCTGGAATACACACCAATCACCATAGACGTTACCGCTTTTGGTGTTTGATTGAAAACTAAGATAAGTATGTGAGGTGCTGATCTACAAGTAGTAGAACACGTTTGGTTGCCAGCAGTTAGTATTTGTTCACTTGTCCAATTAGAATATTAGATTGGCCTTATGTGAGGTACTGATCTTGTTTTTGTTTTAATTTCAGGAAAATCCAAGAAGCTTGATTATGTCTACATGTGCTGGTTGAAGAGATGTAAGAATCCTGCTGGTGTTTTATATATAGGAATATGAAAATGCGATGGCATATGTTTATGTATTTGACTATTGATTTAAGTGGACTTGTGTACTGGATATTGTTGTATTAAATTTGTTAATTATTGGCTGTATGTTTTATGCGTTCGGTTGAAAAACTAAAATGAGCTGAAGCTGGAATGTAGGCTAAAAGCATAAAGTAAATGGGCTAGAAGTATATTGCAAATGGGCCAAAATAGATTGGAATTGGGCTGAAAACAGGCTAAAAATGGCCCATGTGGATGTTGGGCTGTCAATAAATGGGCTGAAAACAGGCTAAAAATGACGTGGCAATTCATTCGTGACGTTTATTTTTCGTCATAGTAAATGGACTTGGGCTGGGCTAACTAGGCCTCGGGCTCTACTGTGATGGTTTGAGACCGTCACCGTTTTTGTTAATCCGTGATGATTTCTGGCAAATCGTCACGGAGATCAATAGATGACGCTCAATTCGTGATGATATCTAAAATCATCACAGATGTTGTTTGGTGACGTTTTTTTTGTGATCGGTGACGAAAAAAATTCATCACGGATTAACAGGATTCTTGTAGTGCTCCGGCGACTCCCCTCCGCCAACATGGTCTAGCGCCGGGTCACGCGAGCAGGGAGCGCGGGCTGCTACTCCGCGCGACGCCGCCAAGGCTCTACGGCAGCGCACTGCGCCTGCCTCCTCCGACCACGCCTCGCCCTTGCATCCTGCGTCAGCTCATGGGAGCTGGGAGCACCGGCCCCTCCTCCACGCGACACTGCCGAGGCGCCGACGACCATCCAAAAGCGCAGGGCCCGAGCACAGTGGTCGATCCGACACGCAGAGGCACGCCGCTCGTGCTATCCGCAAACGTAGCGGATTATATTGGGTGCGTACTCCGTACTTGCTACTAGTATACCATGAACGCATGAATTGTTTAGTATTCTGGTGAAATCCTCAGGGTTACCATACTGAGATCTAGAATCTAGGATTGACTAGTACCAGGCATGGCCGCTTTTTCCCAGATCTTTGCTCTTTGCATTGCGTATACTAGTAGATGCCTTTTGGAATACTCTAGCTGCAGCTATGCTCGTTGGATGCAAAATCAAGCTAAGGTGCCAGCTTAATACTACTGCGTGCTTGCTAGCATAAACCTATTGCTGAACTGGTGCTGTTTTGATTAACAAGACTGCCTTCTTGTGCTACAGGCGATCCTTCGATGGCAGGCAGCAAGGGAGCACATGGGGGTAGCCGGTTCATTTGTCACTTGCGGATGAAGCGCGCCTTGGGCATCCCATTGAGCCATAGGATGTGGGCCACCAGGTAGATGCGTGGCCGGGATCATGTATAAAATCCCCGACCAGGGAAACGACGGTGAGAATGAAAGGGAGGTCAGGGAAGCGAACCAACGATAGTGAGAATGAGAGGGAGGCTAGGGAAGCGAACCAACGACGGTGAGAATGAGAGTGTGCGCAGGGTACTGGCACCTCCTCCCCATTTAAGGCGGCCTCGCAGTTGATGGCGGTGACCGTACTGTACTGTACACGCCATAATGCGCAGGGTTTAGGATTTAGGGGCAATAGCATTTTGACCATAGCTTTGGACCGCAGTTGTGAAACAACCATCGTTTTTTAATTGTGCACCGGCCTCACGTCGCTGTCAACTTCAAGGCTTCAAGCACGGCCCTGCCCTCCGCGGCGAGAATTGAAGGCAATAGGCAGATGATATCACTTTATCTGCTGGCCGAAAATTCTCGCCGCGGAGGGCAGGGCCGTGCTTGAAGCCTTGAAGTTGACAGCGACGTGAGGCCGGTGCACAATTAAAAAACGATGGTTGTTTCACAACTGCGGTCCAAAGCTATGGTCAAAATGCTATTGCCCCTAAATCCTAAACCCTGCGCATTATGGCGTGTACAGTACAGTACGGTCACCGCCATCAACTGCGAGGCCGCCTTAAATGGGGAGGAGGTGCCAGTACCCTGCGCACACTCTCATTCTCACCGTCGTTGGTTCGCTTCCCTGGCCTCCCTCTCATTCTCACTGTCGTTGGTTCGCTTCCCTGGCCTCCCTCTCATTCTCACCGTCGTTTCCCTGGTGGGCCATGCATCTAACCACAACTTAGAGCTTCAGGGAGAATGTCTAGTGCCTCTAGCCTTTCTTTATTCATGTGAGGGGTCTTGTACCTATTGCCTCCTCCATCTTTCATAACTTCGATCATGCATCCTTGTAGTGTGAGGAATACCCTATTCAAAACGACGGGGTTGTAGTTTTCATATTCCATTACCACATTCTGGATAAGTTCATCCACGTTTCTAGATGTCGTTCTATCCGTTATCGACTGAAGAGAAGCAAAAAAACCAAGGGCATTCTTTTGTGTACCATTGAACCACTTCTCATCTGCGTGAATAATATTTTTCATATTCTCGAACTTTGGATTGTTTGGCAGAGTACTTGCATCTAGCTTAGAGAGAACCCACCGCAACCTTGCATGTTTGTTTTCTTCCTTCAAATAAGGCCTCAATGCATTTGAGTGTCGTTGTAGCATGCCTTCTTTGAACAACCTATGTGCAGTGCTTTTACTGCTTTGAAGACCATATGCTAATGACCTTATGGTTCCCCTTCTGTTTAAGGGAATATTAGCAACCCTAGTGAGGTCCACTTGAATTTTTTTACGACCACAATTCTTAGGTCTCAAAGAATTGACATCTACTGGTATGCCTTGTGCCAAACAATTTTTTGCTCTCTGCCACACTCGTTGTATTGTGCGCACATGGACATTGTACTTTGCAGCAATAAGTGTTGTGCTGTTTCGCTGTAATATGCCATTAGTGCTTAACTGAAGCAAATCTTGATATATGTCTTACCTTTGTCTTTGTGTCAAATTCTTTGAGCATATTTGTTGCTTCTTCTTGTAGGGGTTGCTGATAGTCTTCGTCATCCGAGTCAGACAACCCATCTTCATCAAATAGGATGTGAACACCATCTGTGTACACACCAAAATCATGTATGACATCGTCCATGGTATCTTCTTGCAAGGCCATGTTGTCATCTGCTACAAAAAATGTAGATTGTGTGCTGATTGTCAGTAAATAGATTATGGAACTTTTTTGACATGGAGAATTATTGTTGCAATCATGACTGTAAACTGAGGGAAATAATCACATGTATGTAGGTTATCTTGTTCTTCCTGTGGGTCATTTAAATCAAATGCATAGCCGGCAGTGTGTCCAACGGAGACCTCCAGAGGCACCGGTGCGTAGTGAAATCCTAAGCCAGGATAGTAACGTGAAGAGAAGCAGAGGAAGACCGAAGTTGACTTGGGTAGAGGCAATAAAAGGAGACTTGAAAGGATGGAATATACCCAAAGACTTAGCCTTAGATAGGAGTGCTTGGAAGACAACTATTCACGTGCTTGAACCTTGATTGCTTCTGCTGGGTTTCAACTCTAGCCTACCCCAACTTGTTTGGGACTTAAATGTTTTGTTGTTGTTGTTGTTGCATAGCCGGCAGTGTCACCTGGTACAGAAGCAAGCTGATCAATTAAGAGTGCATTGTCACCCACACATGTGAGTTATTCTCCCTCTCTCGATACAACAGTTAGTATTAGTTTAGAACAGAAAGAATAGACACCAAAATTTCTTAGATGTTGCTACACATTTTAGTAGTAGGGAGGAAGTAAATTAGAACATAAAAATTGAGGAGATAGAGTGAGGCTAGAGAGAACTGCTTCACAAAAGATTATGAAACTTTTTGATATGGACAATTATTGTTGCAAACATGACTTGAACTCTGTATTGAATAATCACCTGCATGCAGATTTTGTTCTTCATCTTCATGTGGATCATTTAAATCAAATG